GTTTTTATTTCCATTACTCTGGGAAGTGGGTCATAGAGGACGTTGCTGTGATTTATGTCGGGAGAGTGTTCTGCCTTTTTTTTCCTCTAAAAGTTTTATAGTTTCTGGTCTTACATTTAGGTCTTTAATCCGTTTGGAGTTTATTTTTGTGTATGGTGTTAGAAAGTTCTAATTTCTAATGTTCTGATTTCATTCTTTTACACATACAAAACTATAATAAAAAATCTTCCAACAAACAAAAGCCCAGGACCAGATAGCTTTACAGGTGAATTCTTCCAAAAATTTAGAGAAGAGCTAACACCTATCCTACTCAAACTCTTCCAGAAAAATGCAGAGGAAGAAAAACTCCCAAACTCATTCTACAAGGCCATGATCACCCTAATACCAAAACCACAAAGATGCCACAAAAAAAGAAAACAACAGTCTAGTATCACTGATGAATATAGATGCAAAAATCCTCAACTAAATTCTAGCAAAAAGAATCCAACATATTAGAAATATCACACATTATGACCAAGTGGGCTTTATGCTAGGATGCAAGGATTCTTCAGTATTTGCAAATCAATCAATATGATACACCATATTAACAAATTGAAAGGTAAAAACCATATAATTATTTCATTAGATACTGTTCTGTCTTTATTCCTCTGTATATAATATATCTTTTTCCCTCTCGGTACTTAAAATTTTTCTTTATTATTGACTTTAAGCAATTTGAACACAGTATATCTTTGTGTAATTTTTAAAATGTTTCTTGTGCTTGGAGGGTGTTGAGCTGCTTAGATCTATACAGGTTTTATAGTTTTTGTCAAATTCGGGAAATTTCATTCCACTGTTACAATTTCTTCTAATATTTATTGTCTCTTCCCTCTCCCTCCCTATTTGGGGATGCCAGTCATACCTGTATTAATTTTATTACAGTTGTCCTAAAACTCACTGTTCCTCTATTTGTCTCTCCTCCAGTTTTTTTCTATTTGATTTCAGATGGAATTAAGAGCAGGTTAGATGTTACAGAAGAAAAGATTAGGAAATTTGAAGAAAGGTAGCAATGTAAAGTAACAGCTTGTTCTCCTAATGAAGTAAATAACTGCAACATGAGTTGATGTCATTGTGTTGCTTTTGTGATTTAAAGTTAGTTTTTGTTCTGTTCCCTTTTCTATTTATGTGAGAATCCTAATGTCTTCCCCAAGCTTTCTTGAGATTTCTGTCCTTTTGGTTCTTATGTGTGCTCAGAGTCCATGCTCTCTTCAGCTGTTGCTGAATCCTTATGGCATTATCATCCCCCTTTCACATACTGTCTTGAGTAAGGAACATAACCTCAGTTTAAAATTCTCCCAGCACTATTATGAGGTCTTTATGTACACAGTAGGTCTTTTGTTGTTGTTGTTGTTGTTGTATTGAGGTTTTCTATTTTAAACAATGCAAATGGTTTTAAAATATTGCTAAAAATATCAGTGATAACACGCTTTAAGCCATTACTGTGCTTTAATAAGCAAAATAGTATGTTTATTTAAGTGCTTTATATTTTTTTGATCAATTTAATTCTTGGACTAATCCTGTAAGATATGATTATTACATATTTTTCTGAAGAAGACCTGAGACATAGAAAGTTGTCCAAATCATCTGTTACTGTGACGACTGTAATATTACTTAGTTATTAAGTCTTTCTAAAGATTTAATGAGAATCCATGTAAGATACTTAGCAAAGTGCCTGAGAACATTGTATGTTCTCAAAATGGGCTAATTGTTGTTATTTCTAGATTGATAAATCCTTAGATAAATTATGTTTGGAGTATTTTTCAGAGTAATCTTGAGGATAGAATAGGTGGGTATACTGAAAAAATTAGCTATAAATGGATACTTTTTGCAAGTGGATGATTGGTTGTGTGGGATTGAATCAGTGCTTTAATCTATGCTTGAAAATTTATGTAATTCATACTTAAGAAATTTTATAGATAACTGATTTAAGGAAGAAACTGAGTCAAAATTACTGCATATCAGCTTTAAAGGATATTTACCTAGACATTCAGTTTGCATACAAACTAAGATGATATATTTCCCTGGAAGTGCCAGAATAAAATCTTATCAACTGTTAAACACTCTGACAGTTACTAAGAATAATTACTTGGCCAAGAATAATTACTTGGCAAATAGAGTGGCATCCTTTTACAACTCAGGACCTGATAAGACTTTAAATGTGCATTCAGAAGTTACAGTTTGCAGTTTTAGCTAAGCGATTCTCAGCTTTCGGAAAAATCCTTTTATATATTCACTTCCCATACTTATGAGAGCCCTCTTTTCAAAAACTTAGCAAACAGCTTTAAATAATAATTTATTTCTCAATAAATTTATATATACATATAAGCATAATGATTCTGTCCAAAACATGATAATTGGTAGTATACATGTTATACTGAGTTTCTATAATTCTAGCCAAAAGGACAAAAAGTCTTAACTTATAAACCCATCATTACTAAATTGTGGGTGTGCGTAATTTTTATATAGACATTTTGAAATACACAAAATAACATGGTGAAGAATTCCCTGTTAAGAATCACTGCTTCATATGCAAGATTAAAATCTAAGAAACTGCATATTACATATATTACATACTAACAAAATTATGCTTAATCCATTTATTAGTTGTTCTTCCCCTTCATTTCTGAAGTATTTCAACTATTACATTGATTAGTTCAAAAAGAAAATTCAGTGTTTTTTCTGTTAGCTAAGAGAATCAGGTGCTTGTAGCCAAAACTACTGTATTGTTCATTTGTTTTTCAAGCCCAAGTTAGTATTTTTCTTATAATACAGTAGACATTCATTCAAGTGAATGGAGGCAAATCTGATTATCAGGTTTTACCAGTCTCTTGATGGTTAACTGTTATTTATTATCTGAGTCCAGCTTCAGCAGAATGGACAGCTCTGTTTAACATCTGGCGCCTCCCTGATTTTCTGGCGTTGTCTTTTCCTTAGCCCTGAAATTGACAGATGTCTTCAGAGCTGTGTACTTTTGTGCATTCAGATTGTTTGCCCCAGTGAAAGCTCTTACCTTTCTCCCAGGTTTGTTTACCTAGAAAGGTCTTACTCACCCTTTAACATCCAGTGTAGGTGTCAACACCTGTATGAAGGCAGGAAAGGGAATATACTTTCTCCTAGGTGTATCATGGTGTATTTGTTTCCTGCTTGTTCATATGAATGCATTAAGACATTTCTAGAAGTAGGATTCTGAAACATTGTTTTGAGTTGAGAAAAGAAAATTGTACAGGTTTAAATTTCATGAATTAAAATTTTGTGAGTTATGGTACTAGTTGACCTTTCTGCCCAATGCCACCTTATTTGCTGACATATTTAAACTCTGGGTCAAAAAGATCTTTCTTCTTTACAATGTAAAGCTTAAGTCAAAAGGGTTAGCATGGAAATCTCATATTCCTGCTTTATCCATACAGATTAAACAAAGTAAAATTTCATTTTGGCCTTCGAGAAATAAATGGAAATGAATCAAATGTTGTTCCTTTAATGTTTCTTCAGTGAAGGAATAGTTTGGCTCACCTTTGTAACAGAACCTCTTTTAAAAGCCTTTTAAATTAAAATACTCATATGCTTTTGTGCTGTTTAGTTAATATATCATGCAAGTTATCATGTGCTAGACTTTACATTGTAGATAGTTTTTTTTTTTTGCTTTAAAATTTTTCTCCTTGAAAATCATAAAATGATATGCCTGTTATGTATATTTCACTGTAATAAAAAATTCTTAATGCACAAAATAAAAACCTTATTTGCCAGCTGTTCTGTGTAATCACAATCACCCTATTGCTCTAAACTTTGCATTTTAATTCTCTCAGTGTTTCTTTTACATCTTAAACCCCACCACTCAGCAAACTTTCCTTTTGTTAACAACTTCATAGCCTTTCCTCCTGTACTTACCATAACACAGACTTTTACTAAAGGTACAAACGTTTAGGTGCTCATAGCCTTCCTCTGCATCTCAATTTCTGCTTTTACTTTAATGATCTGTGTCCACATAGACAATGAAAACTTCCTCAGTACCTTGAGCTTCTCTTTTCTGGCAATCTTTTCTTGATTCTGCCTTAGCTAGGCATTCAGTTTTTAGGTTATACCATGGATGTTATGGCTTCAGTTAAACTTTCAAATAACCAAAGTTTTGAAATTACAAAAGATTACCAAAGATTTTAAATTTGGTAATTTCAAATTGCCAAAGATGTTGATCACTGTGACAAAGTCAGAGACCATTGTTCAAGCTTGTTTACTCAGCTATACCCATTAGTACCGTACCCTAATCATCTGAGCTACTGTCTTAGAGTTCTAGCTGATCTTCCCCTTCTCTCTTCTTCAGATCTTTTATATTATATTTCTGTATGATTTTCCTGGCAGCCCAGATGGTAAAGAATCTGCCTGCAATGCAGGAGACATGGGTTTGATCCCTGGGTTGGGAAGATCCCCTGGGAGAAGGAAGTGGCAACCCACTCCAGTATTCTTGCTTGGAGAATTTCATGGACAGAGAAGCCTGGTGGGCTACAGTCCATGGAATCGCAGAGTCGGACACAACTGAGCAACTAACACACACATACATTACAAAGTAGCACTGATTTTATGAGTTTGGAATTGTGGGTGGTTTTCCCACCTTTGAAAGTATTTTGTATAATGTGATTATATTTTATGATTTAAAATGTATACAACTCATGCCAGTATTTGGATTTTTCAAAACTGCAATCCTGAATCAAAACTCCAACACTTCAGCAGTTTTGAGTAATTTTGTTTGTTTGTTTGTTTTATAGTGGATTCACTGGGTCAGGTTAAGAGTGAAGGATAATTGATAGTTAAAAGTTGCTGGTGATGTAAGGGGTGTGTGTCCTTCTTAGAATGTTGATCATTTAAGTAAGGTTTTAAGATTGACTCATCCAGCAGTTGTTCATTCCCAAATCACAGTCATAAATTTTCTGTTTTAAATGTAATTTTTTTTTTTTTGCTTTGTTTTGAAGGTATCAGTTTTTGGAAGAAGCTTTTCAAAACCAGAAAGGTGCAATTGAGAATCTACTAGCTAAGCTTCTTGAGAAGAAGAATTATGTTCATTTTGCAGCTACTCAGGTGCAGAATAGGTAAGTGTGGTTCCTTAAAACCAAAATTTCACTTTAAGGATTATTAAACTCAGTGGGTCCAGTTTAAATTTGTTTTCCTTTTATATTATATTAAGCATATATAGAAAAGATTTTTTTTTTTGAGGAGTAAATGATTTGAGTTTGGATTATGATATTTATTAAAGAAAATTTAATTCACTAAAATTTTGGATACTCATTTAGGATACATCTTTGACTGTTAATATAATTAATATCACTAGTCTTTGTAAGGCTTATTAGTTAAATGTAAAAAAAGCAATTAATATATAAAGAGTTGAATTATAAAATTTTAACTAGAGACTGGAAGACAGAGGAGAGAATATGAAGAATGGTGGACAAATTTTCCATCTGTAAAACAAGCATTAAAAACAGTACTTATCTTACTTGTATTATTATGAGAAACACAGTTTCTGGCACATAGTTAACCTTCAAATTTTAGCTTTTTAAAATCACGAACACTAGTTTTTGACATCCTATTTTCGTTAATTTCTGAATTAACTAAATTTATTGATAAAGCACGTGGGACTGGGACTTCTCTGGTGGGCCAATGGTTAAGACTCCATACTTCTACTCCAGGGGCCATGGGTTCGATTCCTAGTTAGGGGACTCAGATCATGCAGTGTGGCCACAAAAAGCCAAATAAAAACACACACACAAAACCCATAAAGGCTGTTGGGACTAAGTTCATAAGTGAGTAGGTTAAGAAGATTAGGACTCTTAAAGGAGTCCTTGCAGACAAACACTTGGAGCTGGCATAATTAAAACCCCTATGTTCTTAGAGGTATGAATAAGGGTTCATATGTTTTTATTCTTCAGACTCACAAAATTAAGAATTTTAGGTTCTCTAGAATATTAAAATTAATTTTTGATGATTTAAAAAGACACAGTAAATACTTAAAATATTGAAGATGAATGAATGGTGATTGTATAGTATATTAGATAATAATACATTAGACATTAAGAGATGTTATAACTTTGACCCTGAAAGGTTATAGCAAAGGAAAATAGAGGCTCCTCAGAGGTTGTAGATAATATGTAAATATATATACACAGATACTAGTCATGGTTTGTTCTTGTGGTTATGTCAGGATGTTTTTTATACTGCTGTTATATTGTAGACGATATTGGAGAACATGACTGTCTTCTCGTAAATTACAGATGGTTATCCTTTTCAGAGAAAGGATAGAGAGATAATTCATATCATAGTCCCATATTTTTATACATATATTTTGTACATATTTTGTATAAATGTTCCTCAATCTGTAGACAGTTGAGGCTTATGTGTCATATGATTACAGATAGTTGGAGAATTTCATCTCCAGAAAGCTTTAAAATAAAGCATTTAAGATTAAAGTCTATAATTACACTTCTTTTAAATTCTTTGATGACTTTTCTCCATTTTTTACTGTACGTTCATTTTTTTACTTCCTTTACAATCGAAAAATGTGTATTATCCATGCTTAAACCTAGGGGTGTTTGACTCTACTGCCAGAATGCTTGATTTCAACCTTTGGCTGAATCTTTTTTTTTTTTAATTTTAAAATTTATTTATTTTTAATTGGAGGATAATTACTTTGCAATGTTGTGTTGGTTTCTGCCATGCATCAGCATGAATCAGCCATAGGTATGTGTATGTTCCCTCCCTCTTGAACCTCCCTTCCTTTCCGAATCATTTTGAGTCATGTGTTTCTTAGCACTAGTAATTAGCACTCTCATTTAAAAAAAATTGTTCTCCACTCACTTTAATAAGATAAGGACAGCACTGAGTAAAAATTTCAAATCAGTGCCTGATGTACAAAGGAGGGATAACTACATTCTTGACCCAGTGTATTCAAGTTACTCAAATTTGTACTTGATAAATGAAAGGCAATTTTAGTGGTTGAAAGTGTTAGTTTTAGTTTGTACAAAAGTAGAATGTGTAAAAGTTGAAGGTTACCATCTTATGATTGTTTGTTAACATTTTATGTATTTATATTTGTGGGATTTTTCTCTTCCTATTTTATAAATAGCAAGATATTGGCTATTTCATATTTGCAAACAGAATTTTCATAGCTTCATGGTAGCTTATATTTATTTCTAAAACATTTAACAACTGTTTTTATAAAAGGAATCAAAGTGTTTTATTCCCTTAAAACATTCTGAGAAGTAAGTCATTTTGAGAAAAACCCATGCAATGAGTATATATGAATTCACATTCGAAGTAGTTACAAGTGAACCTAAATGCTTCTACGCTTCCTACTATTTCAAAAGATAATAGTATTGGTTGCAGCATTGGTTCTTTGCTCATTGTTCTTGCAAAGCACTATGATTAAATAGAACCAATGTGCCATATTTAACACTAACCAGCAATCATTGATGGCAGATATTTGTATATCACTTTTATGTCATAGAAACTAAAGGAGATTGCCACGTAGTGTAACAAACTGTCCTTTATGAACTTAATTTAAAATTACTAAATATTTAATTCATTCTTTGTCTACATATATAACTTGTTTGGGCCAAATTGAGTGGTCAGGTCTGCCAAAACATAAGTTGTACATTTGACAGAAATTTAGTTACTCGTTTAAGTGCCCAGTTGGATGAATTTCTGTTAGAGTTGGTAATTCAGAGACGTAGGATAAGTCGATAACCTAATGATGCATTTCTCTTATTCAGGATAAAAGAAGTAAATGAGACTAACAAACGAGTAGAACAGGAAATTAAAGTGGCCATTTTCACCCTTATCAATGAAATTAATAAGAAAGGAAAATCTCTCTTACAGCAGCTAGAGGTATGGTTCAAAGCCAAAATAAAACAAAAACTGCTTCTCTTGCTCTTTAGCTGTTTTTAATGTTTATTGAAAGCTCTTTTAGATTGGTTGCGGGGGGGTATGAAAGTAAAGTCAGTTAAAAATTTTTTTGTGTGTTTTTTTAATTGGAAAATCCTTTTTTCAAGTTACTTTCTAGCCCAATTTAATTAATAATACTTTAGCTGTATCAGTTAGGAGATAGTGTTGGCCTCTTAGAAATGAAAGAATTATTACTAAATGTAACATAAATGAAGACAAAGCTGACCTGCCACACTCCCTCTTCTCCCCTCAAGATGGGCCCTCAGCTTAACTTTTACATGTGAATGTATATTGGGAGTCTTACTGACTCATGTGGGTGCTTCACTTTATTTTTTAATGTTCCATAGTTTTCCTAAAAATGCTATTCATTTTGAAATTTATAAACTTTAAATTTACTGGTAATTTTGTTGTATTATGTCTTTATGTTGCATATTTTGAGGTTACTGTATGAATGTAAATTTCTAGATGAGAAGCCAGTCAATTTGTGAAATCCAGATTGTTTTAATCAGAGACTCTACTGTCCATAGTTGGTTGATCTCAAAATTTTGTGGTTTGAAATTGCTTTAGGTAATATGGGGTTACACTTAAAGTACAATTGAAAAGTAATAATTTAAATTACATGGATATTTGATTATTTAACTTTTAGTTACTATTAACCTCAAAATTTTCATAGATTTTTTTCTGTTGCTATTGCTTTATAGAAAATTGTGAAATATTAGGCATAGTTACATATAAATATATGTCAGCAGAGTATTATTTCTGAATTTCTGTCTTGAAATACATGTTGCCATTGTTCCACTATTGTCAGATTAAAAATATTCTCACGCATATTGTTAATTTGAGGTTTCTTGTGACTGTTTTATATCCAGCCTAGTTGCATTTAACCTTAATGGATTTTTGTTTTCAAAAGGACCTTGTAAAGGGAGAGCATGAGCAGGCAGTTATTTTTGATCCCTTTTAACTTACAGTAATACATTTTAATTATAGGTCTAAAGTAATGTTCTGAAACCATTTCAAGAACTTTTGAATTAAAAGTTTTGAATTAAAGTGCCTCTTAATGCTAAAATATACACAAATACCTAATAATAAATCTGCCCCATATTTCTAACATGCTGAAATTTAAGCAATAGATATTTTCTAGTGTACTATGTTTCTAAACTTTGTAAAATAGACGTTTTCCTTAACTTTATAAAAGGGATGATGTTCTGGGAAGTTGTAAATAAAACTCCCATCAGTTGAATATTTTTATCTACTGATTTATATTATAAAGTGAGCAACTTATTTCCTTAGGAGAAAAATTGTTCAGTAAACTCGGATGAATCATTTTTTGTAAGAAAGTGGTTAAGACTGAAAAGAGGCAAGTTGTTTGGCATGCTGAAAGTCAAAGGACATAGAGCATCCTCTATTCCTTCTGGCAGGTTTCATCCCCAGAAAGCAGTTTATTTTTCCTTTGCAGCATTTTCCTCAAATTGGTCTTTGCTTCCACTCTGCAATTCATCTTTCTCCCTTTGTCTTAATATTTAAAAGATTTTTTCAGCCTCATTGCCACACCAGTAGATGGCACTGGTAACACAAAATTTTCTTTGGCCTGAGAAGTGTATTGAGTTAAGATAATAAAATTATTTCTAAAGGTCAGCTCATATGTCATAAGCTCTATATATTAGATTAGCTTAGTGGAAGGACACTATTTTTAACAAAGACTTTTCATCTTCTGAAGGAAAAGGGAGACATAACTAACATTAGTTTCTGTATATACAGTGTCTATTTTAGCCCAGAGAACTAAGAACTAAATTTTAGTCCCTCTTTCGTTAGTAACTTTGTCCTTGATCATAGACTCATTAAATAATGAGGAACTTAAGTTATCCCATATTTAAAGAGAAATATAAGTATTATGTTCATTTGCGATAGAAATTGAACTGATGTACATACAGTAATTCCTCAGTGAACCTCTTGTTCTGTTTCAGAATGTTACAAAAGAAAGACAGATGAAGTTACTACAGCAGCAGAATGACATCACAGGCCTTTCCCGGCAGGTGAAGCACGTCATGAACTTTACAAACTGGGCAATTGCAAGTGGTAGCAGCACGGCGCTACTGTACAGCAAGCGACTGGTGAGACACACAATACCTTCTTCTTCTTTAAATTGACCTTATTAAGATTGTTACTTAATTGTTACTTATGCCTATTTAAATTTAAATTTTGAATTTCAGTAGACGTAATCACCATCACACAAAAATAAAGAAGTTTCCATTACCTGCAAAAAATTTTTTGTTTTTCTCTACCCCTAGCATTTTGCAGCCACTAGTCTGAATTTCTGTCATTTTCTACAATTTCGTATAAATGAAATCATACACTAAGGTTTGAATCAGTCATAGGTTTTGGAAATACCTACTTGTATAATGTAGTTTATCTCCAAAAATGGCAGACATTCAAGCATGTGCATTTGATTATTAATACAGTTTTTTAAAATACTGATTCTGTCTCATCTGAGATGGACACTCTGGGGCTATATGAGTTTTTATTATGTCTTTATCTTGTTTGTTTTCTCAAGTGGTATTTAATTTTAAGACTAATGTGATTTTTTTTCCCTTTAAGATTACTTTTCAATTGCGCCATATTTTGAAAGCGCGGTGTGATCCTGTCCCTGCTGCTAATGGAGCAATACGTTTCCATTGTGATCCTACCTTTTGGGCAAAGAATGTAGTCAATTTAGGTAAGAAATAATTATAGTTGTATGGCTATAACTTGGAACACTGAATTAGGAGAAAGCAGCTAAAACAAATCTTAGATACTTCAAGATTTTAAGTGTCAGTCTAACATGTAAACTTTTAGAAGATAAGTTCTTTTTGGAAACTCACTTCAGCTTTGTTCATTACATCTTTAAGAATGTTGAGAGTCGCCTTTGTATAGTTTTCAACAGTAGGTATCATTTCTAACTTTTCCCCCCACATCTTTTAAAATTGCTATTGACTGTTACATGTCAAAAACTTAGCAAATGAGTTTTTTCTCTAAATAATTTCTTACATGCTTAGTAGCTTATAGATTGTACAAAATCGTCCACTTGTGGAAGGCCTTCAGCATGCTAATGTGTCCAAATCCCATGTTCTGAGGCATGTTTGAAAGATAAGAGTAGCTCTTTTGACATGGAAGCCAAGTGGATTTTGCTTTTGTTACTCTACAGTGTGGACCTATGGACTGTAGGTGAAAATTATAGATAAACATACAAACAGCCCAGTTTACAATAAAACATGGCCCTCCCTGTTCCCCCCACCACCACCCCCAAGCAACAATTAGAGCTGTCTAAGATTGATTAAACTTATTTTCAGAATAGTCCTCACCATTGGAAGCTGTAAAAGCAGAGATGAATGGCTTTTTGTGAAAATAATAATAATCTTTGTGTATATTCAGGTTTGGCTATACCTGTAGATCAGGCATCAGCAGACTGTTTTTGTGTGATGTGGTAGCTAAGTTTGGCTTTTATGTTTTAAAGAGTTGTTAAAACAAAAAGTATATGACAGATCTTATGTGGCCTGCAAAGCCTAAAAATCTGGCTTATTACAGGAAAAAGTTTTGCAAACTCTACTTTAGATCGAACCTTCCTAAAATATGCCTTCTATTCCTAGAAAGTACTTGACTCTGGAAAAAGGAAGGAGAATTTTTCATTTCCAAGGATATGAATAGTAATAGTTTAAAACATTCAACATGTCCATAGAAGACAGTGTAGTACTCTGTGCTGTGCATTTTGACAGTTCAAAGGCAGATGGAATCGGTATTAGCAGTCTCAGATATCCTTGAATCTCCTTGGGAGAGAATTTATTTAGACTGACTAGGTGGGCCTCTTCTCATAGTATATCTTTCAGCTCTTTAATTTTCTATACATTTGTGTGATTAATAAGGGCAGATAATATTTTCTGAGTAATCAGAGGTCAGTTAATTGGCTTTGGACTATATTAGGTTTCTGATCGTTACCATCTTTGAACCTAGCTCCCTTCCTTGTTGTCCTATTAGAAGCTTTGAGTGGTGGTAGTTGTCAGAGGAGAGAGAAAAATATAATGATTAATCCATGATGTAGACGTTAGTTGATTATTTGCAAATTATTGTCATTTTTTTAAATCCTTCAGGTAATCTAGTAATAGAGAGTAAACCAGCTCCTGGTTATACTCCTAATGTTGTAGTTGGGCAAGTTCCTCCAGGGACAAACCACATTAGTAAAACCCCTGGACAGATTAATTTAGCACAGCTTCGGCTTCAACATATGCAACAGCAAGTGTATGCACAGAAACATCAGCAGTTGCAACAGATGAGGATGCAGCAACCACCTGCACCTGTACCAACAACAACAACAACAACACAGCAGCACTCCAGACAAGCGGCCCCTCAGATGTTACAACAACAGGTGAGTGTTATGTCACATTACTGATAAAAATTATGAAGACCTCAAGGCTATATATATTCTGTCCTATATAGGTGAGTTACACATTTCAAAGTTACTGATGGGGACAGAGATCAAGGGACAGAGCTCAAAGATCAGTTTAAACACTTTCCTTGGATATGGCAGGGATGTGGGGGAGATATGAGGAAGGACAAGAGATAAATAGTTATGATGGGAAACAATTAACTCACTAGTATTATGGAGATATGCAGGAAACACAAATTCTATCACTGGGTCAGGAAGATCTCCTGAAGTAGGAAATTGCATCCCACTCCAGTATTCTTGGCAAAGAGTCTGACATTAAGCGACTGAGCACACACACCATGGAGGTATACACATTTTTATCCCTCTATACCAGATCTTTTTTATTCTGTACCTGTGGTTTTGGGTCAAAGAACCGTGTTGTTTCTGTCTAATATCCGATATGTTTTTTAGGCTTTTGGTCAAATCATTTCCTTTCCTGTATCATCCCTGCTCTCTTCTCTCCCATCCAAATCAAAACTGTTAATCTGGGGTTGATTAAGTTAATGCTGATAAGCTTTGAAACACACTTAGTCTAAGAGAAGGAGATTGGGGCAAGAGACGAACAGAATGACTTATACTTCTTACTATCCTGAGAAAATTTTTACTGTAACATTTTATAATTTAAAGATAGATGTATAAATATTATTACATAAATGCAATATCTACCTTTTGCAGCCTCCAAGATTGATCAGTGTGCAAGCAATGCAAAGAGGCAACATGAACTGTGGAGCTTTCCAAGCCCATCAGATGAGATTGGCACAGAATGCTGCCCGAATACCAGGGATACCCAGGCACAGCGGCCCTCAGTATTCCATGATGCAGCCACACCTCCAAAGACAAGTATGCCTAGAGTTACATTTGTAAGAATCATACAATTTTAAAACTAAAAGACAGCAATTTTCTTAATCAGTTGCAGGAGGGAGGAAGGGTGGTCATGGATACTTTTGAGAATTTGACCAATGCTGTGTTATCTTCCTGTCCCAGGAAAATACACATAAAATTTGTATTAAATTTTAAGAGCTTCTTTGATGTTTTTAAACCCAATGTATACTTTGTGTTGAGCATCCTTATTTAGTCCAACCAATTCATTTTACAGAAGTAAAAAATAAAGGAGCTTGTTGTTTACCCAGAGTTCCTAGAGGTAATGGTAAAATTAAGAATAAAACTTTAGTTTCTTGAAATTGTTCTTCTCTTTTAATGTGACATTTTGACTTTTTTATTCCTCTCTTTACTCAGTGTTGTTTATTTTAGGATGGATATGCCTACTCTTGTGTCTAGAGAGGCATGTTTTCTTTCTAATCTTTGCGTGAATAGTAGATTGTACAGGAGGTATGATTACTTTTACATAGGATTTCTAATTATACATAAAAGTCATTTATCATTGTTAGAGTGATGTTTCTCAAAGTATGATTTAAAGGCCATGAGAATTACTGGGGCACCTTGTCATAAATACACTCTGAGCCATATCCATTGAATCAGAATTTACAGGAGGGGAGTACTCAGAAGTATGTGAACTTGTACTGATTTAGATGGACCTGCATACGAAAGTTGCACAAGTACCATCCTAGAGAAGTGGTCCTCCCAACTTTTTGGCTCAATTACCTCTGAAAGACTTTTGAAAAATACATACTATAATACCTCACATTTGAAGGTTGACATTTAAAACTTCCATTACAAGTTTAAATAGTTGCAAAGGGCTTACTGTCTACCATATTATAAATACATTACAAAGTTAAACCCTTGCATTATTTTTGTAAGTGGATCCACTGGAGTGGATATTACTCCAAGTACTGTAGCAGATTGTTTTTTGGTGTTGTTGTTTTCTTAAACTTTTATTTTCTCTTGGATTGTAGCCTATTTACAGTGTTGTGATAGTTTTGAGTGGATAGCAAAGGGACTCAGCCATAAATATACGTGTCTCCATTCTCCCGTAAATTCCTCTCCCATCAAGCTGCCACATAACATTGAACAGAGTTCCCTGTGCTATCCAATAGGACCTTGTTGGTTATTCATTTTAAATACAGCAGTGTGTACATGTCGGTCCAACACTCCCTGACTATCCCTTGCCCCCATTGTTCCGTCATGGTAACCTTAAGTTTGTTTTTTAAGTCTGTGAATCTGTTTCTGTTTTATAAATAAGTTCATTTGTATTATTTTTTCTTAGATTCCACATATAAGGGATATCATACAATATTTCTTTATCTTAGCAAGTTATTTTTTGAAAGTCAAAATTACATACTTTTTTCTCCTTGGACTTGAATTTATCATCTACTTTAATAGAATTTTATCTTAATATATTTATGTTTGATAGACTTGTGAATCAGTTTGTTGTTTTCTGCTGGAAAGATATCTTTTGATTTTAAAATTCTGATTTCTGTTTATAATGCTATTATCAAGCATTAATACTTTTTCTTTAGACCAGATTTTCATTACAATTATTCCTGTACAGCTTAAGATGCATATTTACATGGTTTAAGAATATTAGGGAACAAAAGTTAAATTCTTTGAGATATACATTTCTTTATGCGATGAAGCCTTTTTCCTTTCCTATTCGTTTATGCATATTTGTATGTCTGTTACCTTTTACTGTTAAGAGTAAGTCAGAATTTAACATTGATTTATCAGTTGACAACTTCTTTAGGCCTTTTGTCATTTTTGTTGATCATTAAGTATCAGAACTCAATCCAAAGATTTGTTACCCAGGTTTTAGAGCAGGACACTTTCTCTGCTGATTCATGCCTTTATTTTCAACTGTACATTTGCCTATCTCTTCAGGGTTTTTTTTGGTTTTGTTTTTTGTTTTATGCTGGGGTGGTATGCTAGATTAGATTATGGGTGAGTTACAGATGTCCTGTGTTAACATTTTATTTTTGGAGAAGGACAGTTTTGAAAGAAATAGTTGGAAAAAACTCATAGACCATGGTACATTCTTAAGTAAATTGGGTTTTCTTCAGAAAAAATTATATATGAAGGTTGACTATCTAGATTTTAATTTCCTTAAAAGTATTCACATACACAATGACCCCTTAGTTCTTGGAAAGCCTTTAAATAGTACCAGGAGGCAGGTACACCCTTTAGAATGGTGCAGAAGCTACAAAATCAGACCAACCATCTTAGAACATTGTCCTTAGACTTTGGGTCCTACAGAAATCACTGACTGTTAGAATTTTAAGTTTTAAAATATTTCAGATGATTTATATGTGTATACTAAGTTATTTCCCAAAGATTTTAATCTGTTATCTTTTTTTTAACATAACACATATATATGTATGTTTATCACACATAGTTAAATTTATCTTGAGAAAACAAGAACATTAAACAACTCTATTAGTTTAAATCACCACATTAAGGATCATCTCAACGGATCAGAAAGGTATCTGATAAAAGTTAGTAATAATTCATGGTAATCTTGTAAACTGAATAGAAGAAATTTTCTTTATCCTGAGAAAATATATCAGAAACCTGCTGCAAATATTTTGTTTTGTTTTTTAATTGAGATATAGTTGATTTTCAATAGTATGTGTTTCAGGTGTGCAACATAGTGATTCAAAATTTTCAAAGATTATACTTCATTTATAGTTGTAAAATATTAGTTATATTCCCTGTGCTATACAGTATATCCTTGTAGCTTGTTTATTTTGTATGTCAGTTCAGTTCAGTTCATTCAGTCGTGTTTGACTCTTTGCGACCCCATGGACTGCAGCACTCCAGGCTTCCCTGTCCATCACCAACTCCCGAAACTTGCTCAATCTCTTTTCCAATCAGGTCAGTGATGCCATCCAACCAGCTCATCCTCTGTTGTCTCCATCTCCTGCCTTTAATCTTCCCAGCATTAGGGTCTTTTCCAGTGAGTCAGTTCTGGGCATCAGGTGGCCAAAGTATTGGAGTTTCAGCTTCAGCATCAAGCCTTCCAATGAATATTCAGGGCTGATTTCCTTTAGGATTGACTGGTTTGATCTCCTTGCAGTCCAAGGGATTCTCAAAGAGACTTCTCCGACACCACAGTTCAAAAGCATCAGTTCTTCTGTGCTCAGCTTTCTTTATAGTCCAACTCTCACATCTGTATATGACTACTGGAAAAACCATAGCTTTTTTTTTTATAGTTAATTTATTTATTTTAATTGGAGACCAATTACTTTACAATATTATAGTGGTTTTTGCCATACATTGACATGAATCAGCCATGGGTGTACATGTGTCCCCCATTCTGAACCCCCCTCCCTTCCCATCCCATCCCTCAGGGTCATCCCAGTGCACTGGCCCTGAGTGCCCTGTCTCATGCATCAAACCTGGACTGGCTATCTGTTTCACAAATGATAATATATATGTTTCAATGCTGTTCTCTCAAATCATCCTACCTTTGCCTTCTCCCACAGAGTCCAAAAGCCTGTTCTTTACATCTGTGTCTCTTTTGCTGTCTCGCATATAGGGTCATCATTAGCATCTTTCTAGATTCCATATATATGTGTTAATATACTGTACTGGTGTTTTTCTTTCTGACTTACTTCACTCTGTATCATAGGCTCCAGTTTCATCCGCCTCATTAGAACTGATTCAAACGCATTCTTTTTAATAGCTGAGTAATATTCCATTGTGCATATGTACCACAACTTCCTTATCCATTCGTCTGCTGATGGACATCTAGGTTGCTTCCATGTCCTAGCACTGTAAACAGTGCTGCGATGAACATTGGGGCACAAGTGTCTCTTTGAATTCTGGTTTCCTCGGTGTGTATGCCCAGCAGTGGGATTACTGGGTTGTATGGAAGTTCTGTTTCCAGTTTTTTAAGGAATCTCCACACTGTTCTCCATAGTGGCTGTACTAGTTTGCATTCCCACCAATAGTGTAAGAGGGTTGCCTTTTCTCTGCACCCTCTCCAGCATTTATTGCTTGTAGACTTTTGGATAGCAGCCATTCTGACCAGCATGAGATGGTACCTCATTGAGGTTTTAATTTTCATTTCTCTGATAATGAGTGATGTTGAGGATCTTTTCATGTGTTTGTTAGCTATCTGTATGTCTTCTTTGGAGAAACATCTGTTTAGTTCTTTGGCCCATTTTTTTGACTGGGTCGTTTATTTTTCTAGAATTGAGCTGCATGAGCTGCTTGTATATTTTTGAGATTAATTCTTTGTCAGTTGCTTTGTTTGCTATTATTTTCTCCCATTCCCAAGGCTGTCTTTTCACCTTGCTTATAGTTTCCTTTGTTGTGCAAAAGCTTTTAAGTTTCATTAGGTCCCATTTGTTTGTTTTTGCTTTTATTTCCATTACTCTGGGAGGTGGGTCATAGAGGATCCTGCTGTGATTTATGTTAAGAGAGTGTTTTGCCTATGTTTTCCTCTAGGAGTTTTATAGTTTTTGGTCTTTCATTTAGATCTTTAATCTATTTTGAGCTTATTTTTGTGTGTGGTGTTAGACAGTTTTCTAGTTTCATTCTTTTACAAGTGGTTGACCAGTTTTCCCAGCACCACTTGTTAAAGAGATTGTCTTTTCTCCATTGTATATTCTTGCCTCTGTTGTCAAAGATAAGGTGTCCATAGGTGTGTGGATTTATCTCTGGGCTTTCTGTTTTGTTCCATTGATATATATTTCTTTGTGCCAGTACCATACTGTCTTAATGACTGTAGCTTTGTAGTGTAGCCTGAAGTCAGGTAGGTTGATTCCTCCAGTTCCATTCTTCTTTCTCAAGATTGCTTTGGCTATTTGAGGTTTTTTGTATTTCCATACAAATTGTGAAATTATTTGTTCTAATTCTCTGAAAAATACCATTGGTAGCCTGATAGGAATTGCATTGAATATGTAGATTGCTTTGGGTAGTATACTCAATTTCACTATATTGATTCTTCTGATCCATGAACATGGTATATTTCTCCATCTGTTTTTGTCATCTTTGATTTCTTTCATCAGTGTTTCATAGTTTTCTGTATATAGGTCTTTTGTTTCTTTAGGTAGATTTATTCCTAAGTATTTTATTCTTTTTGTCACAATAGTGAATGGAATTATTTCTTTAATTTCTCTGTTTTCTCATTGTTAGTGTATAGGAATGCAAGGGATTTCTGTGTGTTAATTTTATATCCTGCAACTTTACTATATTCATTTATTAGCTTTAATAATTTTCTGGTGGTGTCTTTAGGGTTTTCTATGTAGAGGATCATGTTATCTGCATACAGTGAGAGTTTTACTACTTCTTTTCCAATCTGGATTGCTTTTATTTCTTTTTCTTTTCTGATTGCTGTGGCTAAAACTTCCAAAACTATGTTGAATAGTAGTGGTGAGAGTGGGCACCCTTGTCTTGTTCCTGACTTTAGGAGAAATGCTTTCAGTTTTTCACCATTGAGGATAATGTTTGCTGTGGGTTTATCATATATGGCTTTTATTATATTGAGGTATGTTCCTTCCATGCCGGCTTTCTGGAGGGTTTTTTTTATCATAAATGAATATTGAATTTTGTCAAAGGCTTTCTCTGAATCTTTTGAGATAATCATATGGTTTTTATCTTTCAGTGTGTTAATGTGTATCATATTAATTGATTTGTGGATATTGAAGAATCCTTGCATCCCTGGGATAGAGTTCACTTGGTCGCGATGTATGATCTTTTTAATATGTTGTTGGATTCTGTTTGCGAGAATTTTGTTAATGATTTTTGCATCTATGTTCATCAGTGATATTAGCCTGCAGTTTTCTTTTTTTGTGGGATCTTTGTCTAGTTCTGGTGTTAGGGTGATGGTGGCCTCATAGAATGAGTTTCGCGGTTTACCTTCCTCTGCAGTTTTCTGGAAGAGTTTGAGTAGGATGGGTGTTAGCTCTTCTCTAAATTCTATATGTTATCTTAAATGATCCTCATAACAACCTTCAGAAAGACAGGTGTCCATTTTCATTTGTCTTTATCCAATCCACATTTCTAAATTACCAAGATTGTGATTTTGCCTAAAGTCACACAGAATTAAGAGTTAGGAATTGATAACCAGCTTTCCATTTGTAAATTCGTCATTCTACCATATTAGTTACACAATAACAATTATTTTTATTTACTAAAAGACCAAAGTGTCAAAGTGAAATATAGACAGAACAGAGGTTTTCTGTGTCTGATGATTGAAAACTTTAGGGACTCCCAGATCATCTATTTTTATATATCTTTGTTCTCAAGTAAAATCATATCACCAGACTGACAGGGTACAATTATTGGCAAGTTTTTGTTTTTTTTCCTAAATACTATACAAAAATGTACAGAAAATGAAAAAAAAGGACAGAAAATGAAATGGCTAAATTTGAATTTTATTTTTCCTGTATAAGTTTGAGAGGGCCTACTTTGTCTCTCAGCCACAGGTATCAAACACTGAATTTGTGTATCTTTACTAAACTGAAAATTGTTGTCAAGATACTGCTCATATTAGGCCATCCTGGCAGACCAAGTAATGATAACATCTTCTTTTCCTAACAGCATTCAAACCCAGGGCATGCCGGACCCTTTCCTGTTGTGTCAGTACATAACAACCCAGTCAATCCAACCAGCCCAACTACAGCTACTATGGCGAACGCAAATCGAGGCCCCACCAGCCCATCTGTTACAGCAATAGAACTAATTCCCTCAGTTACCAATCCAGAAAACCTTCCATCGCTGCCAGATATTCCACCTATACAGGTTTGTATTTAAGTTGAATGAGAGATTTAAAACCTTGTGTTAATTAGGGAGTTGAGTATATATTTCTGGTTGCTTTTGTATTTTTTTTTTAAATTCAGCTGCAGTGTTTCTTTTGAAATTTCAAAAAAATTTGGTCTAAATATTTGAATTTTAAAAATTTACATGTGCTAGACCTAGTACTTCTCAATATTTTAAAGCTACAGGGCGTCAGCTTTGCTTATCTATCATCTACCAACAGGCAAACCTAGTGTTTAATGCAGCACTTTTGCTTCATTAGATCCAGAGAGAAGGTTTAGATCCAGAGAGAAGACCCAGGACCAAAATAAATTAAATTTTTGGGAATCTTCTGTTAGGTGCAAAAGAGACTTATACAAATAGGTTCAACTGAGAAAGGAGGTTGGAAGGTTTAGATATCAGGCATGTACAGGGGTGGTACTGAGAGAGGAAGTAATAGTGAGGAGTAGAAGATGGGCAGGATGGGTCTCTGAGCTGTTGTGTCCCTTTCACCTATTTTTCTGAAGAAAAATATCATTTGGTGCCTCCTAAAATTTTATAAGGGTATTTGAATTAAAAGCATTTTTAGAAAATGAAATATAAAACTTGAAGGTTGTATTGAGTCATCTCATGTATAGTATGAGTTATTCAGAGTCAAGGGTCACTGTGGGAGCAAGGAGCAGTGAAATCACTCAAACATTAGGACCTGTGACTCTCGTGGCTGCAGTTTAGTATTATGTATTTAGTGGATTTATAGTATTAGTTTTAAAGGATGTTTCTATAACTTCAGAATTGTTTCAGAATCACTAACTTGTCAATTCTCTTAATCTGATTGCTTCCCTGGTAATAGGAGAAATCTTTTGGCTAAGTGATTGGTAGGCGTAGTGGTGTTGAGAGTACTGGACTGTACAGTATAGAATTTTGGAATATAGCAATAAAAAATAAAATTTGTAAGTTGTAAGCTTATAATTTATAAATTTTCAGTTTAATGCTTGAAATCATCTCATATGGTACCTATAGTATCCCTATGTCATGAAAGAGAGAGAGAGGTTAGTTACTTCTCAGAGTCACCCAGTAAATGGTAAGTTGCATTTCAGCCTAGCACCTGATTAGAAATCCATTTCTCTCCCACTGCTGTCCATAGAGATAGCGGGGAGATGGTTTGGGATTGTAGGTGTGGAAAAGTAGAGTATTGAGGGGCTCTGGGCAACCAGGGATAGGTAGGTACAGTGTTAAAGGAGTCATGCAAGCACTCATTGCATGCTGAAGATAAAAGGAAACGAGACTTGGTTCCAATTCTTAAGAAACTTTCAAAGGGAAGGAAAGTTGCTAATGTCAAACTTAACATAATTTTCTAGGGCCACTCTAACAGAGAACAGATGAAGGAAGGATGGATGCTCCACATTTTTGAAAAGCCTGGGTATCATAAGGCAAATGAGCCCTTATTAGACTTTTCTTGTTACCTTGCACAGGAGCTTTGAAATCAAGACAAGAAGTTCCAGAATATATCCCTTCCCATCTTTAGTTTTTCTAAGTGCGATAGGAAGAACAGGATCCATGTTTTCTGTTATGAAATTTTTCTTCCCTGCAGACATATGGCCTAACTTTATTTACTGTTTTATTAAAGTATTGTCTGCTCTAAAAAATTTAGATATAATTCTCATACCATGAAATCCAACTTTTAAGAAATGGACAGTATAGTCCGTGGTTCTTGGTATATTAACAAGATTGTGCAACCATCACCACTATCTAATTCCAGAACATTTTCGTCACCCTAAAAGAAACTACCCATTTGCAGTCACTCTCCATTTCCCTTTTTCCAGTCCCTGGAAACCACAAATTTATTTTGTTCTTATGAATTTGCATATTCTGGACATTTTGTATGTATGAAATTATGCAGCATGTGGCCTTTTGTTTCTGACATCTCTGACTTAGCATAATGTTTACCAAATCCATCTATGTTGTAGCATATATTAGTACTTAATTCCTTCTTTTGTCTGAATATTTTGTTCTGTGAATATACCACATTTGTTCATCCTTCCATCAGTTGATGGACATTTGAGTTTCCACTTCTTGACTCTTAGGAGTAATGCTGCTATGAGCATTTGTGTGTAAGTTTTTGTGAACATAGATTATCAGTTTTCTGAATTTCTGGGAGTGGAATTTCAGGGTCATAGAAGTTTTTGAGGAACTGCCCAACTCTTCACAGTGGCTGCACCATTTTATATTCTCACCAGTGTCCGTGTATGAGGATTTCAATTATTCCACATCTGTGCCAATACTCTGGGCTTCCCTTGTGGCTCAGATGGTAAAGAATCTGCCTGCAATGCAGAAGATGGGGGTTTGATCCCTGGGTCGGGAAAATCCAGGAAATGGCAACCCAATCCAGTATTCTTGCCTGGAGAATTCTGTGGACAGAGGAGCCTGGTGGGCTACAGTCCATAGGATTGCAAAGAGTCGGACATGACTGAGCAACTAACATGCTTCCTTTGCAAATACTCATTGACGCCTGTTTTTAAAGCAGTTTGAGATGGTTACCACAGAAGTACAACCAAAAATAGGAAGGGAAGTAAACCTTTAGTCTCTTGAAGAATTGCATACTTTTTCTCCTACCCTGTAGTTTTCTATGGTGTAGTGAAAAGAAGTGTGGGGGAGGTTACACAGGAAGCAGACAAGGGAGCATTAACTGTGCAGTGCAGATAGGAAATAAATACAAAGCAATCTCAGGTGTTCATTGATACATCTTAATACTGGTCATTACAGCTATCCAGTGTAGAGTAGAAGTTGATTTAAATAGACTTCTCTCAAGTTGAGTTATTTTTTTATTTCACTTTACTATTCATCTCCAGAAGAATTGTAATATGTGTTAGTAATTTTGACTTTGAGGGAATATATGATGAACCTGGATTCTTTTTGAATAGTTAAGTGAATATTAGATTCTGTTCAGAATAGATTTATTAAACAGTAGATGTGTTAAATTATTATTACTAGATTATTAAACAGTAGATGTGTTAAATTCTTTGTAAACAGTTTTCCATACTTGACATAGTAGTTTATTTGGATTCTGTACTGGATAATATGAAGTCTTGGGAAAACCATATGTGTCTTTTTGGTATTCATATGTAAATTTAAATGTTATAGAATACCCATTCTGTACTGTGTTTCTGATAGTGGTTGTCTTCCATCTTTACCAATGTGATAGGTAAAAATGATGTTTGTTGATTTCATTTATATTTCTTTAATTCGTGTGGTTTTTTAAAATCTTTTTTTAGGTTCATTGATCTTAAAAATGTTTATTGACTTATTAGTGGCTGCACTGGGTCGTCTTTGCTGCATGGGCTTTCTCTGGTTGTGGTGAGCGGGGGCTACTCTAGTTGTGGTGCTTGGACTTCTCATTGTGGTGGCTTCTCGCGGAAGAGCACAGGCTCTCAGGCACGAGGACACACAGGGTATAGAGCGTGGGCTCAGTAGTTGTGGCACGTGGGCTCCGTTACCCTGTGGCATGTGGGATCTCCTTGGACCAGGAATCAAACCCTTGTCTGTTGCATTGGCAGGCAGATTCTCAACCACTGGACCACCAGGGAAGTCCAGTTCATTGATTATTTACATTCCTTTGTAGATTGTCTTTTTCCTTTGAATTCTTAGAAATTATTTATATAACACCTACCTGTTCCATGCCGTTATTCAAGGACACTTAACTAACATTGGTTTAATAAATACGTGAATTAACATTTTTCCAGTTAGACTTCTGACTTTAGTTATAGTGACTCAATCCATGCCTGATGAAACATCGAGATAAATACTTGCACTGGCATTCCCCTGTTGGTGCTGTAGTGGCATCAGAGAAGCCCTTTTATGTACTTGAAGTTTGCCTCTTCCTAATATTTTCACTCTTCTAACTCTAGGGTTGTCACTAGGGCCAGAGATACAAACTGTAGGTGGGAGAGTATAAAAGGAGTGGCAATAGAAATAGGTAACATGGACCTTTCATGTCTGTTTTGAATTCTCTTATCCACTCCTTTACGTTTAGGTGAGATATAGCTCAACTTCTGTCTGTGGCCCATGTTGGGAACTGCTCCTCCTCACAGATTCTCTAGGTAACTTTAGTTACAGCTAGGGATTTTTTCCTGTAGTTACAGCTTAACAAGTGAATCCTTGGCCAGTAGCAGTGACCATTGAGCAGGCACAACTCTTCATATCTCTTAATCATCCCTCTAGCTAGCCCACAGCATGCTCTCACTTTCTGCCTTTTATTTGTGACATTAAAGGGCTTTATGAGAAAGGCCTGTTTACCTTTTTTTAAAATTAAGGTATGATTGACTTAGTTTCAGTTGTACAACATAGTAATTTGATATTTATATACATCGCAAAATGATTACCACAGTAATTCTAGTTAACATCAGTCACCATACATAAAAATTTTGTGTGTGTGAGAGGAGGACTTTGAAAGTTGCTAAGAAAGTAAATCTTCAGATATATAATAGAGTATTAATAATAGTCACCATGCTGTACATTACCTCCCCATGATTTATTTTCTAACTGGAAGTTTATACTTTTTGATCCCTTTTACCCACTTACCACCTCTGCCAACCACAAATCTATCTGTATTTATAAGCTTGTTTCTATTTTTGTTTGTTTTTAAATTCCACATATAACTAAGACCATATGTTATTTGTCTGATTTATTTCACTTAGCTTATTCATTCATTTATTTTACTTAGCCATTCATATTGTCACATGTGACAAGATTTCCTTTCTATGGCTAATATTTATTCCATTGTGTATATGTGTATATCACACTATTTTATTCATTTATCTGTAGCTTTGTTTCTTCATCTATTGATGGACACTTAAGGTTATTTTTATATCTTAGTTGTTATAAATAACGTTGCAGTGAAATGGGGGCACATATATGTTTTCAAATTTGTGTTTGGGGTGATTTCCCTGGTGGTCCAGAGTTTAAGACTCCATGCTTCTCCAGAGGGCTCAGATTTGGTCCCTGGTTGGGGAACTAAGATCCTGTGTGCCTTGATGTGGCCAAAAAATTAAATTTGAAAAATATTAGTGTTTTTGTTTTCTTCATGTAAATACCCAGAAGTGAAATTGCTGAGTCATGTGATAGTTCTGTTTTTAACTTTTAAAGAAACTTCTATACTGTTTTCCATAGTGGATGCACCAATTTACACTCTCACTACAGTTCACAAGGGTTCCCTTTTCTCTACATCCTTACCAGCACTTGTTATCTCTTGTCCTTTTGATTATAGTCATTCTAACTAGGGTGAAGTGATATCTCATTGTGGTTTTGATTTGTATTTCCCTGAGGATTGGTGATGTTGAGCTCCTTTGCATGTACCTGTTGGCCATCTCTATGTCTTCTTTGGGAAAATGTCTATTCAAATTCTCTGCCCAATTTTTAATTGGATTTTGGGGAGTTGCATGTAAGATTTTAGTTCCCTGATCAAGAATCAAATCCACATTCCTTGCAGTGGAAGCACAGAGTCTTAATCAGTGGACTGCCAGGGAAGTCCCTGGATGGTTTAGTTTTTTTACTGTTCAGTTGTGTGAGTTCTTTATGTAGTTTAGATATTAACCCTTTATCAGATATATGATTTATGGATATTTTCTTCATTCAGTATGTCTCCTTTTCATTTTGTTGATGATTTCCTTTGTTGTGCAGGAGCTCTTTAGTTTGAATGTAGTCCCACTTGTTTAATTTTGCTTTTGGAATCAGATCCAAAAAATCATTGCCACAATCAGTGTCCAGGAGCTTATTACTGCCTATGTTTTCTTCTAGGTCTTACATTCAGGTCTTTGAGTAATCCACTTTGAGTTGGTTTCTGTGTATGGTGTAAGATAATAGTCTAGTTTTATTCTTTTGCATGTGGCTGTCCAGTTTTCCCAACACTGTTTATTGAAGAGACTATCCTTTCCTTGTTGTATAGTCTTGGTTCCTTTGTCTTATATTAATTGACCATATATGCAGGAGTGTATTTCTGGTGTCTTTATTCTTTTCCATTGATCTGTATGTCTGGTTTTATGCCAGTATCGTACTGTTTTAATTACTGTGGCTTTGAAATTCTGGCCTGTGATGCCTCCAACTTTCTTCTTTCCCAAGATTGGTTTGGCTATTTGTTTTTTTATGGTTCCAAAGAAGTTGTAGGATTGTTTGTTCTGTTTCTGTGAAAACTGCCATTGGAATTTTGATAGGGATTGCACTGAATTTGAAGATTGCTTTAGTTATTATGAACATTTTAACAGTATTAATTCTTCAATCCACAAGCCCAGAGTATCTTTCTATTTATTTGTGTCTTACAGTTTCTTTTATCAATGTTGTACAGTTTTCAGTGTATATATCTTTGACCTCCTGGTTAAATTTATCCCTAGGTGTTTATTCTTTTTCATGTGATTTTATTTTTTAAGTACTCTTAAAAATTGTATGTACTCATTTTTAAAATTTTTGGTTCTGCTGAGTTTTTAGTTGCAGTGAGTGGGGGGCTACTCTTTGTTGCAGTGAATGGGCTTCTTGTTAAGGTGGCTTCTCTTTTTGCGGAGCACAGACTCTATTTATTTATTTGGCCATGCCACGCGACTTGCAGGTTCTCATTTCCCTGACAGGAAATTAATCTTGGGCGTGATAGTGAAAGCCTGGCATCCTAACCACCAGGCAATCCAAGGAACTCCCCTGGAATTGTTTTCTTAAATTCTTTTTCTGATAGATCATTATTAGTGTACAGAAATGCAACAGATTTTCATATATTGATTTTTGTCAACTTTACTGAATTCATCTATTCTTACAGGTTTTGGGTGAAGTCTTTAGGGTTTTCTATATATAATGCCATGTCATCTGCAAATAGTGACAGTTTTACTTCTTCTTTTTCTTACCTGGTTGCTCTGGCTAGGCTTTTAATACCATATGGAACGGTGGTAGTGAGAGTGGGCCTCACTTCAGCTTGTCACTGTGGGGTATGATGTTGGCTGTGGGCTTATCATAAATGACTCTTGGTCTCGAGGTACCTTCCCTCCACCTTGTTGATAGGTTCAGCTTGTTTTTATGCTGAAAGCTGTTTACTTTAGGAGAGTCCTTTCTTGCCTGTAGTATGTTGTGGGCTGCTTTGTTCTGATCATTGTTATGTCAGTCCAGTTCTACCTTGGTTTATATTTGTAGTTTTTCTTCAAGATTTGATGTCACTCATTCCTGTTTTATAGCCTTGAAAATCAGTGTGATTTTGAGGGGAAAAGGCGAGTGAGAAGTAAATGTGCCAATATGTCTTCAGTTTTCGGGATTTTTTTTTTTAAAGACTTATTTTTTGGCTGTGGTGGGTCCTCATTGCTGCCCGTGGGCTTTCCAGCTCTGGTGAGAGGGAACTACTCTCTGTGGCGTGCATGGACCTCTGTTGCAGTGGCTTCTCTTGTTGCGGAGCGCAGGCTTCGGTCTTTGTAGCGTGTGGGCTCTGTAGTTGCAGCTTAGGAGCTCTAGAGCACTGGCTCAGTAGTTGTGGCACATGGTCTTAGCTACTCCACAGCATGTGGGATCTTCCTGGACCAAGGTTTGAACTGTCGTTCCTTACATCGCAAGGTGAATTCTTAACCGCCAGGCCCCAGTTTCCTGTTTTGAATGAGAAGTAGATTTGCCTAAAAAGTGATCTTGCCTCTAGTAAGAGAGAAGATTAAAAGAGGCAGGTATGGGTAAAAGTAGATCAGTAAGTAAGCAAGAAGATCAAGAAGATGAGCAATTATTTAATTAATAATTTGACCATTTCTGATATGGAATAGTGTAAAATTTTTCTAAAGGTAATTTTCATAATTAAATATTTTTTGCTACTACTTATTTTTCTACATAAATATTTTTCCATTTCATCATCATAGTTCTTCCTTGTGAGTGGGATGTTTAAAGATAGGGAACTGATGTTCACATTGGGAACTAGCCTAAAGTCACAGTGCCAGGTCCTCTGGCTTTCAACTTACTGCATCCAGTGTGCTAAAAGGTCTTAGTTTTTCTGTTGAGTGCCTCCTTTTTTGTGTGTAATAAGGGACCTTATAACTCAAGCTAAAGGCTTTCTGTTGAGTAATAGACTTTTCAGAACTTTTAAATTAGATAAGGACATGATCAGGTATCTAATTAGTTGAATGATTTTGGCACGACCATGGATGTTGAAATAAAGTTAGGGGGATGCTAGGGACAAAGATGCTGAAAACAGTATCCTACATCAGCCTTGAGAAAAGGCAAAAGTGTAAGGGTGTGTCAGAGCTATTTTCATAGTAAAACACAAGGGATTTAGTGGGTTATTGGGCTTTGTCTGGAGCTGCCAGATATTTATTGAATCGTTTTAATTATAGCTATATTTGCATAAACTATATTGTGTGGGTCTTCAGGAGGATAAGGAAGCAACAGTGCAGCTGAGTTTGATATAGGATAATCTGTTTTAGTAAACAGTATAAATGATTATATTAATGAAATAAGTTATCTGCTTTAATCAAAGCAAATTTATCTTTTTGTTCTTTTTCTTTAGTTGGAAGATGCTGGTTCAAGTAGTTTAGATAATCTACTAAGTAGATACATCTCAGGCAGTCACCTACCCCCACAGCCCACAAGCACCATGAATCCCTCCCCAGGACCCTCTGCCCTATCTCCAGGATCATCAGGTAAAGTCAGTTGAGGTACCACCTCATTTCTGTAACACCTTAAAAAAGTATCTCTCAGTGTATGTGTTAGGGTTCTCCAGAGAAACAGGACCAGTAGTAGAGGGGTGTGTGTGTGTGGGGAGAGAGGAGACAGATTAAGGAATTAATTGGCTTATGTGATTGTTAGGGCTGGCACGTCTGACATCTGCTGGGCATGTCAGGAGAGTAGACACCCAGGGAAGAGTTGATGCCAGTCTTGAGTTGAGGCAAAATTCCTTCTTGCTCTAGGGAACTCAATCTTTTAAGGTCTTCAACTGATTAGAGACCCACCTTCATTATGTTTTACTCAATATCTACTGATTTAAATGTCAGTAACATCTATCATGTTGATGCAAAAGTAATTGCGGTTTTGGACCTCGACTTTAAGTCATTATAGCTAGGCTCAAACGCATCTTTATTAATCAAAATAGGAACCATTACAATCAGCACATTTTTGCCAATAAGAAATAAGTTTGTTTATTCCTGTAGCATAAAAATCGTGCTTCAGGATTCAACGAACTCTTGGAAAGCATTTTCTGCATCCTACTGGTTGTGGAAGCATTTTACCTGCAAAAAGTTGTTGAGATGCCTGAAGAAGTGGTAGTCGGTTGGTGAAAAGTCACTTAAATATGGTGGATAAAGCAAAACTTCGTAGCCCAATTTGTTCCAACTTTTGAAGCAGTGGTTGTCTGACATGCGGTCAGGTTTGTGAAGAAGAATTGGGCCCTTTTTGTTGACCGATGCTGGCTGAGGTATTGCAGTTTTTGGTGCAGCTCATCGATTTGGTGAGTATACTTCTCAGATGTAATGGTTTTGCCAAGATTTAGAAAACTGTAGTGGATCAGACAGGCAGCAGACCACCAAACAGAGACCATAACCTTTTTTTTGGTTCAAGTTTGGCTTTGGGAAGTGCTTTGGAGCTTCTCGGTCCAGTCTCTGCGCTGGTCATCACCAGCTGTTGTATAAAATCCACTTTTCATCAACATCACAATCTGATAGAGAAATGATTGGTGGTGTTGCATAGAATAAGAGGAAACAACACTTCAAAATGACAATTTTTTTGATTTCTGGTCAGCTCATGAAGCACCTACTTATCAAGCTTATTCACCTTTCCAACTTCCTTCAAATGCCGAATGACTGTAGAATGGTCGATGTTGAGTTCTTTGGCAACTTCTTGTGAGTTGGAACAGGATCAGCTTCGATGATGACTCTCAACTGGTCGTTGTCAACTTCCAGTGGCCGGCCACTATACTCCTCATGTTCAAGGTTCTTGTCTCCTTTGCAAAACTTCTTGAACCACCACTGCACTGTGTGTTTGTTAGCAATTCCTGGGCCAAATGCGTCGCTGATGTTGCGAGTTGTCTCTGCTGCTTTACGACCCATTTTGAACTTAAATAAGAAAATCTCTCAAAGATGAGATAAATTTTGTTTTTGTCTAACATCATTTCCCTAGTCTAAAATAAATATAAAATAAACAGCATGTAATAAGTCATTAGCAAAAAAAGTGAGAAATGTGCATTAAAATGAAGTATAACATAACCACATTTATTTAGAATGTATTCCAGTATCAAATGGCAAATCTCAACAACGCAAAAACCAAAATTACGTTTGCACCAACCTAATAAATACCTTTCCACAAAGAACTGGGTACCATATTCTAGTCAAGTTGAGACATAAACTTAACCATTATAATAATATTTTTTCCCTGATTGCTTTAATTATTTTTCTTCAAATGTTGTTGGCAGTCTTCAATGAATTGAAATAATATGTATCTGTGGTGTATGCTCTTTAGAAATCTGATGTTCCCCTCCCTCAACCTCCAGCTATATTTATGTTTTTTGCTGGATTTGTAGATGTATTTACTATCCATGCCTTCTATTTTACAGTACAGGTTGTCAATTGAAGAATTCTTTGGTTTCAACTCGAGTTTAAAACACTTTGTTAAATAATGAAAAAATTGAAAATTTGTTCAAAAAGCAAGAAATGAAAAAGGGCAAGTGAATTTTCAGTTTGCAGTTAAAATGTGGCCAGTTAAGTCCATGAGATACCCAGTTTTATTAACCCTATCACATGAACAAATGATTAAAGCAGCTCGAAATAGATGGACACTGTGGAAGTGGTTATGGAATGTATTTTTCATGTTTCTTCCTGAAACATACCCCCTCATTATTTCTAGAGTTAGAACAGTTCAGACTTAATGATGCATCTTATGAAAAATCCACATTTAATACATTTTTTGATTAATACTATTTTTAAGGTTTAATGAATGTATGCCAGGACTTTTAAAGAATAATTAATATAGGTAGGATATTTATCAAATGACTTTGGGTGGGATCGCAAATAGCTTTCTCTTGATATGGTAGTTTCCATTGATTGAATAGTGTTGCTCTGAGAGGATTCTGAGAATGCTTTCTGGGCTCAGCTAAGAGAATCTGATTGACAGTTGCCAATGATTACACATTAAATCCTTGACTTACAGACTAAGACTAGGTCTGATTTCCAAGAATTGCTGAATTGCTTTATAATAATACTTGAATTCTCTAGTGGGTAGATAGAATTCTGAATTTTCTTACCTGCATAGATATTCATTTTGACTTATTAATTTTCAGGTTTATCCAATTCTCACACACCTGTGAGACCCCCTAGTACTTCTAGTACTGGTAGTCGAGGCAGGTGAGTATTACATTAATAGCTTTTTTATTTTTATTAAAAAAAATCAAATATGTATTTTGAAAAATAGACTATTATAATGAACTCCCATATACTTTTCAGCCATCGTCAGCAATGATCAGGTTATGGCCAGTCTTTATTTATTCTATACTCCCACCCATTCCCCAGTCTAAATTTATTTTAAATAAATTTCAGACATTTTGTCATTTTATTTGGAACTGTTTCTGTATATATCACTTAAAAGGTAAGGATTTAAAAGTTTCATAACCATTACACACCTAAAAAAATTTGGTAGCTAACTCTAATCAGTAGAGCTCTAGTTAATGTTCATATTTCCCAATTTTTCTCATAAATACTTTTTTTAAAAATGATTTTTGTTTAATCAGATAGAGATAGGTCCTATACATTGCCATCAACATGTACGTTGAGGTCAAACTCATTGTGTTTGTTGAAGAGAAATGTATTGTTTTTCTTAAAGAGTTTTCCTCATTTCCCCATCTTTTCATGTAAAAACTACCTTTTGATTTTTTCTCTGTATTGATATTTAGGTCAGGAGGTTTGATTAGGTTCAGGTTTGATTTGAGGGAAAGGGATGGGGATAATACTTCACTGTGGTAATGTGTACTGTCAGGGTCACAAAACATAGATTTTTTTGTGACAGCAACCATTGATTGTCAGTGCCTCAGCTTTTTTTTTCCTGGCTTGAAAATGATATTTTAATTACTGTATTATACCTTCTTTTAATACTTCTGTAAAGAAAAATTTTCTGCCAACTGTTTGATTATTGGAAAGGCAGAATAAATTGATTCTCTTTATTTACCTATTTTAATAGTAATGAGTTGATTCCCAGCACCCTCCAGCAGTGACCAATGAATATTAACTTTATGAGCTCATATATTTAAACATATTTTATATATTTTAATGTTATAGATGTTATTTTTATTGATGATTAAATTGTTCCATATTTGGCTTGTCAGAACTTTTTTTTTGGTTATTTTGCTATAACCCCAGTAGTCATTTAAAAACATTCTTGTTTCCTGTTGTGAAATGATATCACATGTTCATCTTAGACAAATAGCTGATCTCAGGCCTGAGGCAAGAAATGTATAAGGAATCCTGGTCATATTAGTGGGGAAATAAATGGTGCTTTGAGACAACCTTGTGAGTACTAGGGGCTACTGAATTCACTGCTACTGAATTGTTCATGGTTTCTTTTACTTTTTTGGTGGACAGAGAGCTAAGATATTATAGTGTGGGAAGAGAGAGAATGTATTGTGCTGAAGGTAAACTTAATAAATATTGACTGATTTTTGTTTTTAATTTGAATAATTTAGTGCAAAGTAAGGATTTTATTTAAGATGCCTTGTTTTTCTCTTTATATGTATATGCATTTTGAAGACTGATTCTATACTATTTACTTGTTTTTAAATTACACTTTAAATAATCAGTACTTTTAGTAGAAAAGTACAAATTGAGTGAAAAGGGTTTTCATTTTTGGCAGTGATACAGACTTAAAGTTAATTCACTTCTCTTGCCGGTGGTTTGCTCTATGATCTAGATAGAGCCGATTAGTCACGAATCTGTACCTTTTAGCCTTTGATTGTTGTTCAGTCACTAAGTCGTGTTTGACTCTTTGCAGCCCCATGGACTGTAGCATGCTAGGCTCCTCTCTTCTCCACTATCTCCTGGAGTTTGCTCAGATTCATATCCATTGAGTTGGTGATGCTATCTAAGTGTCTCATCCTCTTCTGTCCTCTTCTCCTTTTGCCTTCAGTCTTTCCCAGCATCAGGGTCTTTTCCAGTGAAGTCTGCTCTTCACATTAATTCACATTAGGACTCAAAAGCTGAAATAGTGATTCCTTTGGAGGGCACTTCATGGACCACTGTTATTGATGTTTCCTTTAGATGTTTGGAGATAGAGAACAATTTAAACTTCTATTATATTTAGAGAAGCAATCACTATACTAGTAGCGTAGGGAAATGATCATTTACTAGATCCCCTAAATGATGTAGTGTAGGTTCCTCAGACGATGAAATGTGTTTAGGGTCTCCTGAAAGATTGATAAACGTTTTTTAAGATTTGATGGTATGAGTTTATAATACACTCCTCTTAACGATATTATGAAGTATCCTTATCTGCTGTGAGCTTAACAAATTGCTTTTACTTTAATGAACATTTCATATAACTTAATGAACTTTGCATATAATTGTTTCATGTAAATGTACACGATGCAGTCAAACATATGTGACCTTTATTTGTTGTTTTTGTTAGCTGTGGGTCATCAGGAAGAACTGCTGAGAAGACCAGTCTTAGTTTTAAGTCTGATCAAGTGAAGGTCAAGCAAGAACCTGGCACTGAGGATGAAATATGTAGCTTTTCAGGAGCTGTGAAACAGGAAAAGACTGAGGATGGCAGACGGAGTGCCTGCATGGTAAGGTTCCAGGGGAACCGTTTGGTGATGCCAGGAGGTCCCTTCACTGATCCTTTCATCTCTGCCTCTATGTATGGATAGTGATCCTATGGACCTGTATTCATTTCTAAATTTTTGTGCCTGGTATAAACCAAATATCTCTTTTTCTAACTGATCTTTTTCCATCTAAGTGTCAACTGTAATTGATCAGAAAAGACTTGTATTAAGGATTCCTTTCAAGCTATCTTTTGGTTTGTAATTTGTCATGTAATTTTGCCGTGATTCTAAATTGGGTTCTAGCTTTTTCTAAATTTATTAATCATTTCATTAGTCACATTGAGTCTCAAGCCACAAAAATCGTTGGCCATTTTCCTGCACCAGTGAGTTCAGGATTAAGACTGCTGACATGAAAGAAGTTTAATGCTCAAAAGAGTTTTGTAATGAGAAGATTGCCTTTGGCCTATGCATTATTAATAATTTTTAATCAATTTTTAACCAATTCCTCAGATGGAACATTTTATAAAATTTATAGAATGAAGGCAGGCCCAAGTTTCTCTTCATTTAGAAATTTTGATCTTGGTTCTTTTCTTTGTACCTACAATTTATGTCTTAATTTTCTACGTGGTTGGCACATAGAAATTTCAGCTCTGTAGATTTAGAGAGTATTGTTATCTCTTCATTCAGAATTTGGTTTGGAAAGTTCCCCTGAAAAACAGTGCAAAAAGGTGGTGAAAGATTTTACATTGTCACAGTCTTTCTATATTAGTAGGATGATAAGTGGGTAGAAGAATATTTCAAAATGCTTTTCGAAAGCTATGTGACAAGGAAGGACCTATCATGTAGGAAGCACAGTATTCAGTATCTTGTAATAACCCATTGAAGAAAAACTGTGGAAAAAAAGCACATATATAACTGAATCACTTTGCTATATACCTGAAACCAACAACATTGTAAATTAACTATACTTTAATTAAAAGTAATGGTTAAAGAAAATAAAGCCAATAGAAAGGGGGAAAAAAAATCTGCGCAACAGATTCTTGAGTGAAAAATTAGTGTATCATAGCCAGCTGTCTATAGGAGAATACCCTGATACTTACTTCCCAATCAACATGCTTAACAGTTTAATTCCTTTATTACCAAGTGAACCAATAGTATAGTGACTGCTCCCTAAAATAATTCATTAACATGCCAAAATAATTTGGGGTTATTTTCAGTTTTTATGTTACTAATACGATTTCAAGCAATTTTGCAATAAATTACAAAATAATTTTAAGTTCTGTCAGTATATCATGTTGTAAACACACCCACAGTAGCACACACAATGCATACCATAAGGATTAAATGATTCTTCAAGAATTTGTCCTTGCTTTGTTTTAGTTGAGCAGTCCTGAGAGTAGCTTGACACCACCTCTTTCAACCAACCTGCATCTAGAGAGTGAGTTGGATGCATTAACAAGCCTGGAAAACCATGTGAAAACTGAACCTGCAGATATGAATGAAAGCTGCAAACAGTCAGGGCTCAACAGCCTTGTTAATGGAAAGTCCCCAGTTCGAAGCCTCATGCACAGGTCAGCACGGATTGGAGGAGATGGCAGCAGCAAAGATGATGACCCAAATGAAGATTGGTGTGCTGTCTGCCAAAATGGAGGGGATCTCTTGTGCTGTGAAAAATGTCCAAAAGTCTTTCATCTAACTTGTCATGTTCCAACACTTCTTAGCTTTCCAAGGTACAAATGAAATAACTGATTTTTTTGTTGTTGTTTTTTATAAGCTAAAAAAATAAAGTTATTCTGGACAGATGGCCTCCTTAACCAATGCCTAGTATTTATATAAAACAGAGAGCCTGTTACTCCATTGTGTGAAGTGAAGTGAAAGTTGCTCAGTTGTGTCCGACTCTGCCACCCCAAGGGCTGTAGCCTGTCAGGCTCCTGTGTCAGTGGAATTCTCCAGGCAAGAATACTGGAGTGGGTAGCAATTCCCTTCTCTAGGGGATCTTCCCGACCCAGAGATTGAACCCAGGTCTCCTGTATTGCAGGCGGATTCTTCACCACCTGAGCCACCAGGGAAGCCCATTACTCCATTACATTCTAGAGAAATTAACAGCTGAATGAAGAAATGTCCAAGATCTAAGTTGTACATTAGTGATAAAAAATAGACTATTTACTCACCTTCAGTTTATACTTCATATAAGCAAATTAGATGAACCTCTAAATTATGAGGAGCAGTGGACTAGAGCATTGAGAAACTCAGTTGATTTCCTCTTGAAGATAATTTCTTAATCTGTTGCCATCAATTTTGATAAGGTCTGTAATAATTATGAATAGTATTCAGTTTTAGGCAACTCTATTGGCTCTTACCAAAAACTTACTTTTTTAAGGTTTGAAAACTCTTGGAAGGCATTTTAAAGAAAAAAAATACTTTGTGAAAACACCTTTAATGTCAGGTTTTTTTAAGAATAGCTTCATCTTCACTATTAGAAGCAGTTCATTAGTAGTGCCTGCCTGAGGCACCATGTGCAAAGTTCTCAGACTTTTTCCTTTATCCTCTAGTTGGAATGTCTTTTAGTTATTATAGAGTGGAAAGTTACCGAGTTCCTTATTTAGAAGAGAATAACATGGGGGTAAAGATAAATAAAGATTTGGGCAGCATATGAGCACTGTCCCCGGATTTTATGACCCCATGGCAGGTAAATCTGGTTTCAAGCATTAAAATATTAATTGATGAGTACTCAGTACAAGCTGATGATACCAGCTAATACAGTAGAACAAATATGCTGGGCTTGGTTATGATGCCTGGAGTCTCGTCATAATTCTGTAGTGAACTAACTAACTTGGACACTTCACTGATTTTCAGGGATTAGTTTCTTCATCTACAAGTAGTAGAATTTGGATTAGAAGAGCTGTTTTTCTCCCCTTCCATTGAACATATTTATGTTTATGCTATTTCATCTCCAGTTGATTTCAGAGACCATAAAATAATAGAATCATACTTAATTCTCTGAGCCTTCCTTCTTCTCCATCTCTAACCTCAAAATTTTTTAAGTGTCGTTGGGAAAGCTCAGCTTCTTTTTGCCTCTAGATAAAGATTCACATTTTCTCTCAGATTCCTAAGAAGCAATGATTTTAGTTGAGTAGTGCTACCCTTTTTGAAAAATTCAACCTTTAGGATTAAAAAAGTACTGGGTATATAGGAACAATGCCAGAATATTTTTCTGAAGAATTGTAATTTTACCTAAATTTTAGAAGGTAAAGTCACTTACCATAGCTGTATTAAGAGCCTTCTTTTTGTTTCCTCTTTTAAAAAAGAAAGGCATTGGCATTTTGGTCTTGAAATTAAAGCTTTTCATATTTTTGTTTCCTTTGGATAGTAACATCTGCTGGAATGTTAGAATTTTGCCACTGAAAACTTTCTCCCCGAAAAGGTGACACAGTGTTAGTATAATCCTTAGAATATATATATAAATGAGGGAGGGAAAGGAGAAAATGCATACAAAGGAATCAAATTGGAGTTTATAGCTTGATAGAAATCCTGATGTTAACAAAACTATTAACTGAGCAGATTTAAAAGACTAGCTATGAAAAAAGAATTGTTCTATTTTTGGCATTGCATGCCAAAACAAGATACCTGAAGACCTGTGTATCCTGTATTCCTTTCTTCTTCATGCGTATGAAGTCACTGTGGTGGTAATACTGGAGTCTTGAAAAATTGGTCTTATGCTGCAAGTGCTGATCATCAGCTTTGTGCTATGATGAGACCCATCTTTAATGGAGGTAGTGGTTTTATATTGCTTTCCAGAAGGCTTTTCATTCAGTTGAAGAATGAAGACATTTTGGGACGCTTTTAATCACATAACTTCACTTGATGAGATTTGGCAAAAATAGTACCTCTTGAGTTCCACAAAAACTGGAAAAGGAAAGAAAACAAAGAAACTGAAGACTTACCTCTAGAGAACTAGCTTTCCTGGAGTGAGTTTTGTTATAATTACAAAGACTGATTGCCTGTTTCCTTCTTTAGTGGGGACTGGATATGCACATTTTGCAGAGATATTGGAAAGCCAGAAGTTGAATATGATTGTGATAATTTGCAACATAGTAAGAAGGGGAAAACTGCACAGGGCTTAAGCCCCGTGGACCAAAGGGTAAGTGTCAAGTTGATTTGTTATTAGGTATTTTATAGTTGTCTGTCTATACAATTTTTTTTCCTTCAGTGTAACATACATATAACCTGGTAAATTTTCATATTTTAATCACATTATCTGATGGTATATACGTTCATGACTTCTGAAATCTTTGTCTCTAAACTTTAGAGCCCTTAGCTCTAGGCTCTTGAATTTTGCTTTCTCACACTTAACATTTCCCAGCCTAATCTTGATTTCTTATCCTGTCCTTCAAAAAACAAAGGCAAGAAAATAATGACATAAAAACTGCTTTCCTGTCTCAGTAATTTCCATCATCAAATAGTACCACCAGTCATCTCTTGCTCAAGCCAGAAATTAGAAGATCTCTTCACCAAACTTCCTGATTCTACTCTTGCCCCTTACAGTCCATTTTCTACGCAGTACATTGTGTTCTTTTTAAAACATGTTAACAGGTCTGTCGCTTCCATGCTTAAAATCCTCTAAGCACCCATCCTATTAAGAATGAAATCCAAAATCCTCATTATTTCACTCAGATTTCTGCTGATCTGTTCTGTACTCTGATCTCCAAAGACAGAATATCTTTCACAGACTTCTGTTACAATTATGTTTGACTTTGATCTAATGCATAAATCCATCTTCCACTATCTTTGAGGAGAAAGTATGTGTTTAGAGTGTTACAGAATATTTCTGATTGTATAACAAAATTCTTGGATTGAGAAGACAGTTTTTATTTCATTTTGAACCTGAGTGGAATCCTTTCAAGAAAGGGAATAGCATGTGTCTTGCCTGCCTTGGGAAATTAAAATGAGTAGCAATGGTTAAGAGGTAATAGTAGGTAAATAAGTTATATACAGTAGGACAGAAGGTAGTCACAGTCTCAGAACTAAGTGGGAAACAGGTAGTTTTGTATTTACAGCTAGTATAGCTATATATGTAGGAGAGCTTATCTTCAGTTTATTGTAGTAATACTTTATACTGATAAAGTCCTCATTTTCAAGAATATCTTTTAAGGGAGGAAAACAGTTCATGAGTTTTCTTTTCTTTTATTGGGCCAGAAATGTGAACGTCTTCTGCTTTACCTCTATTGCCATGAATTAAGTATTGAATTCCAGGAGCCAGTTCCTGCTTCGGTGAGTTGTTTACCTTAGTACTTTCCTGGTGAATAAGTTTAGTATAATATTTAAGACTATGGGCTCTGGCTTTAGTCTGCTAATGTTAAAACTCAGGCTTGAATAATCTCTTCATCCAGTTTCTTTTCTAAAATGGTTTCTTCCCTCATTGGGTTATTTTCAGGATTCTGTACAATAACCTGTGTAAAATAATTTTAGTATAGTATTTGATAAAATTTCTAAGTAATAAGTACTTATGATGTTATTAGGGCTAAATGGATATGAGTTTCACTGTTAAAATTGCAGTTTGTTTTTAAAGACTGGCTCTGATCAAAACTTAATTTCCACATCCTCTTTTACTTTTAAAATGGACATAAGGATTACAGCTACATGCATAATTAAAAGAGTCTTGAACTCAGAATCAGAACACTTGACTTCTAGTTCTGCCAATAACCAGCCTTATAACTGGGGAGATTTACATAATTTTCTGCCTCTAGTTTTAACTGTAGAGGGGGAATTTGAACGAAATTATTTCTAAAATTCTAGTTGTACGATTGATTCTAGGAGTTGTACCTTGGGGAGAAAAATCTCTATGCAAGTATTAATTTGAATAAAAGTGTAAAGTTGAACCGTTTACACTGGTTTTGCCTTCATAAGCCCTCTTTTATGAACAGTCAAGATTAAGAGAAGACTGTGGGGAGAATTTGTAAGCCGTTGGGCTTTGTTTTTCTCAAAGCAGATTTTTGTAAGGAATAAATTTAGGCTCTAAAATCCTATAGCAAAAGGAATACCAGGGATACCTTAAAAATGTGATAAGAATATGCTTCACATATTGTATTTGCTTGCTGTTGATTGTTGAATTAAGATATTATTGAATATCAGACCTATTATATAGGGTATTGAATAGTAATTTATTTACTTAGGCTTAGAAATGGAAAATATAAAAGGTTCTAGATACAAGGAAGACATTTTGTTCAGATAGTAATCATCTGACACCAGGAAGTCTGTCTGGTCTTCAAGTTTAGGGACTTTATGGTAGAAATTTTCTTTCTAAGATTTTCTTTTAATGAACTTTTTAAAATTGTTTCTCTGTGTTCAGTTATTTTTGCAAAGATACAAATTTATGGCCAGGAGTTGGGGCCAGAACTCCCAAGCATGACCACTAAGTGGATAATAGGGGCTTTCTTGGTGGCTGAAGATGGTAAAGAATCTGCCTGCAATTCAGGAGACCCAGGTTAAATTCTGGGGTTGGGAAGATCCCCTAGAGAAAGACATGACAACTAAATGGTTAATAAAATTTTTTCTTGTGTCACTACAGTCTCTTTCACCTCTATTGCTATGTTCAGAGTTCTGTGATATAAGGTTTTATCTTTTATAAAGGATACCATATTCTATTAATAGCAATACATTTTGTAATCTTTCCTTTTAAAGTCATACAATTCTGATGGGCAAGGTGTGTCCCTAACACTAGTGGTTGGGTAGCCTTGCTGATTGATTTTTCCCCCCTTAATTTCCTTATTAAACGTGGAACTTTGTGTCCTTCATAGAGGACCAAGGAGACTACCACATATTCTGAATGTGATTTGATTTTTGTGTGATTGTGGCAGAAGATTTCAAGTACAATTCACTATACTCAAAATTTGCACGCAGCTGGCTTAATCAACATATTTTTCTCTAAAGTTAATATACTTCACATTTTCAAATTAAACACTTTGGCATTTTTGGAGAATCCTTATCTATCCTTATTTGTTTCTTTAGATACCAAACTACTATAAAATTATAAAGAAACCAATGGATTTATCCACCGTGAAAAAGAAGCTTCAGAAAAAACATTCCCAGCACTACCAAATCCCAGATGATTTTGTGGCTGATGTTCGTTTGATCTTCAAGAACTGTGAAAGGTTTAATGAAGTATGTTAGCTTCCAAACTATAGAGTCTTGGATTATTAGTTTTTGTTTGTTTGCTTATTTTGTTCCTGGATTTTGTTTTCCCTGCCAAGAGATTTTTTTCTCAGTTGATTTGAACAAATTATTCTGCTCCAGGTCTGTCAAAAGTAAAATTTGATTGCATCCACAGTTCCAAAGAATAAAGTTTACTGTATATAATTTGAAATATATACTTAAATATAATGTAATAAATTAAGAATATTATTGGATATTTATTGGATATCCCTTCCTGAATATGTTGAGGGTTGAGATAAGTATAGAAAATAGTCTGTAGTTAAGTACATTTTGTAGGAAATGATTACATCCAAGCCTACATTTTGGATACATTTAGGAAAGGGATTTGTACCAGTGTCTTTGATTTCATTCTTGACCATGTAAATATAGAACCTTAAAATTATAAACTCAAGTAGCTCATCTTGACTAGTAATCCAGAGTATATAATGTTGAGTTTTTTCAGCATCTCAGCTATGACTTTCATTAACTTTGGTTATGTATTTTTTTGAGAATAAAGATGAGCTATCCATACCTTTGGTAGAAATGTGATGTATATCACCTTCAAGGGTGTTTTTGTTATCTTTAAGAAGGTCAAATTTCTTTTTGTTAAGGAATATTTTAATTATTATAAGAGAAGAAAATGGATGAGAATCCACAAAATCTTCAGATTACTAAAAGTTTCCTTATTGCTGATAAAATTCAAGTGCCATATGAATGTTACTAAAAAATTCACATTGAATCATGTGAAATGTACTCAGAGTTGCCTCTGGGAGCATCTAGGTGGCTTTTTAATTTCATATTAAAAATATTAGTGATAAGTCTTGTTGTCTTTATAGCACTGTCACAGAGAATGTAGTAAAACCTCATTCTCCTGAAGTTAAATTAATACAGTCCCAAATTTCTTATCTTATTTTCTAATTCAGTTATTTTCAAATAAGTATGCTTTCATGAACCATAGCTAATAACGTTTGCCAGGGAGAAGACCTATTTTAATGATTGTTTAACAATTTATGATTAACAATTTACCACACAGATGGAATTCTGATTGATTGTTGAAAGCTTGTCGGTTTAAAAAACAAAGCAAAACATTTCTTACATTATTTGTTTCAAATAATTTTTTGCAACTCCTATTCAGGTTGACCTCACTAATTGAGAATTTTGAGAAAATTTCACAGTAGCCTTAGTAATAGCTTTGTAAAGAAAGTGGGTCCATGTTCTGTATAATTTTAGGAAGCACTTGATCTGGTCATAGCAGTTTGTTCCCCCTAATATGGCTGACTTTCGTCGCCAATCCTATGCAGTCTTATAACTTTAGAAAGGATTATAATTTCCCTTTTTTTTTTTGACTCTGGTATCCTTTTTAGATGATGAAAGTTGTTCAAGTTTATGCAGAAACACAAGAGATTAATTTGAAGGTAAGCTTTTCAGACCATGCAAACTTGGTGAAGGAATATGCATTACCAATAGGTGAATATTCCTATCTTTTGCTTGCAGGCTGATTCAGAAGTAGCTCAGGCAGGGAAAGCAGTTGCATTGTACTTTGAAGATAAACTCACAGAGATCTACTCAGACAGGACCTTCGCACCTTTGCCAGAGTTTGAGCAGGAAGAGGATGATGGTGAGGTAACTGAGGACTCTGATGAAGACTTTATTCAGCCCCGCAGAAAACGCCTAAAGTCAGATGAGAGACCAGTACATATAAAGTAAAATGACATGAACATAAACCAGTTGTTCAAAAAAGAAAGAAAAACTTCTATTTAAGTGTTGCTGGAATATCCTGCCTACAGTGGGCTCCTTCTTGAAGAAGCTGATAGCTTTTACACAGTATTAGATTGAAATAATGGACAGAAAACACATTCTGATCAAGAAAGGGGGAAAGGACTCTATTTGCAACTTTAAAAGTAAAAACAGAAGTGAAAGTGAAATGATTTGAAGATTTCTGTTACTCAGAGAATGGTTCTGATTGCTAGAATGGGCTGATGTTGATCATTTGGTATTGATTGGTGCAAATACTGAGTGTTCAAGTACTTAAGGGTCATGTCACTGGTTAAATTGTCTCTTTGGACTGGAGTGCACATTTACTAAAACAACTTTCATGTCTCTCCGTTCACACATATACAATACTGGGTTATTTTCTAGTCAAAAATCAAAGTTCTCAGATTCTACTTTGATATTAGTGCAGATGTGCATATTGGATCATGCCATTATATTTTCTCTTTTGATGCTGTTGGGCCTTAGTTTTTATATTGGTTTAAAGAATTCAACAGTAGTTTTATTTTCTGTTCATACTTAAAGAATTTGGGAAACATGCCCATTGATCATCATTTAATCAATTCTGGTGTTCTACTGAAATAAATATGGTAACTTTTCAGTAGCAGATCATTTATAATAGTCATTTACAGAAAACACTTCCACAGAATTGCACTTCCCAATCAAATCATCTGATCACACATTTATTCCCATGAAAGGTAGAATGGTTGTTTGAAAATTAATCTAGTTTTCTGTACATTTAAAATTTGATTGAGGTGACAGCTGGCTCTTACCCCGTCTTCCTTCATATCGGTTTTCTGATAGACCACTATTGGCAAACAGTTATCTGTCAACTACCAAATGTGTAAAATTTTCTGTATTTCACTTTGTCTTATTTGTAAATAGTGAACTAAAACTTCTGGCAGATCAGCAACATTTGCTGAGCCTGTTTTTTAAGCTAATATGTATTCTTACTAATGTTCCTATCAAGAATGGATTTGTAATATATGCTGTCTATTTCTAATGTTCACATTCATATTTTGAGGTTCTATCTTATTTTAATAGAGAACAGACTTCTCAGAAAATCTTCAGAAGCAGCTTATTATTAAAATATTGAAATATTGAAATAAACCCGGTGGGGTTAGATTACTCATCCGTCCACCAAGTGGGACATTTGCATGGACTAGGGGCTTTAAGGACTTAGAACAGACCTGTAAGTATATCCTGAAGATGAGCCGATCAATCCCCACTTGAATGGTTACTGGAGTAGACCCACCTTCACTACCCTGATTTTAGCACCCGAGGCAGATAAAATCACCTTGGCTCTGTTCATTTTTCTTCTCTTCATTTGTGATGCTCAGATCCAAGATGTATGTTCTAGACTGTGTACAGGCTTCTGTTTTGTTGAGTTAAAAATTTTAGTCCTACTTTTGTATGGACATATTAGAATGTAAAGTGACCAAAATAGAAGACTTGCCATTAGATATTTTTCAGATGTCAGCAGATTTATGGCAAATCATTTGCCTTTTTAAAAATTCAGCTTAAACAGTTCAGACAGTAGACTACTCAGAAAAACTTATTTGACATAATTGTCTAAGAGGTAAATATTTTTTAGTGCGTATTGAATCAAATAAAGTGCTCTAAAGAAGTTATTACACAAATTTCTTTGGGTTGTTTTTCTTTATCATGTGGTGGGGGTAAACATGAATATGATTCAAGCCTTCTAACGGTGTATTAGTTTTATTATTGCTGTTGACTTCATTCTGTGGCTTTCTTTTAGCTTTTTCAGTTGTTATAAGTTAAACTTTAAAACATATACCAAACTTACCAATTTATTCAAATTTCAGATTCTTTAGAACAGATTTCTTATAAAAAGTAAAAATTATCTTAAAATACTTTTATCTATGTGCATTTTCCTCTTCCCTACAACATTCATGATTTCCGTTTATCAGGAGACTTACCTAAGGGCACATTTTGGGAAGTGATGAGTAGCAATGTAACTTCATTTTGCCAAGCCATTGAGTTCTGATAGTTTGTGCTTGCTCTTCATGTGAATCCTTTTCATGGTCTTAGATAACACATTCTACCAGAAACAGATTGTAAGTAAAGTATTTGATATTTGGGGCCTTAAAAGCTAATGTGTTCCCTTAAAGACAGTTACATGTTAGATGGAGATTTTAGTTTTTATTTTCTTTTAATATTGGTTCTTCAAAAGCCACTTATTGCCAGCATTTAATAGGTTCCATTTCTGTTAACAGAAGGTAGGTTCATACTGATGAGGAATTACTGTTCAGTTATGTAACTTATCAACAAACCACCATTATGTGAAGGTATTCACTGTAGATTTCATGAAACCTTTTTTTCTTTCACATTTTATCATTCATTGTGTTTCTAAGCTGATTTGTTCACTAAATGCCTGTTAAAGTATAAAAAAATTTATATTCAGATATCTTACATTTTCCTATTCATTTATGTTTTAAAAAGACAAACAGTGAATATCAATCCCTGAAGTCAGTTTTGTTTTAATACTCCCTTAAAATTGTATTCTTTGTTAAAAGGTAGTATTTTTGATTTGAAGATGTTAAATGTTTCCTTAAAAGCTTGCAAACTTTCACCACAGTTCATTTTTCATTTTCACTAAGAACAAAGTGTTCCTGGGTCTGTTCCTCTGGCCTGAATTTGCATTTTTTAGCACCTGGCTCAGCTGATCACTGAGCGAGAACTGCTTTGCGAGGGGAAAGCGTGTGTGTTCCCGAGTGTGGTTCAGCTGTAGGTCATGCTCTGCCGAAACATCAGATCATTACCAGAGAGAGGCTAAGGCATTGAATCCACTGTCAAAATTATTCTTTTTGGAATCAACAAGGTACTTTGTGACTTCTATTCTTATATAAGGAAATTTTAAATAAATTTTAAAGTTAGTTAATTCTAATTTTTTTGTTACAACATTGAGATTTTCAGTTACTCCAAAGAAATAACACTTTTAAATAGAAGCAAAAGGTTTATAGTGTGCAAATTGTAGATTTATCAATTACCTCAGCAGGTATCCTGCCATGTAACTATGAGTGATTAGTTTTAATAAGCCAGGAGACTTAGGTTTTTGGACTATGCTCTTGGGTTGTGGCCTATCATCCATTATTCTCTTAGTATTTAAATGGAGTAAATGCTGTGGCCCCTTCTCCCTTGGCCTTTTAATGTCCCTTACCCATGCCCACTAATATACAACACATGAAGTATTAAAAAATGTCATTTCTTGAGGTCAGCACTGCTTATTTGCATACTTAACATTGGATCAGTGAGTAGTTTTATAGTAGTCTACCCTCCCCAACTTCCCTAATTCAAACAATCAAGTTCTTAAGTCATGCCATGAATTCTTAACTCATACTGTCTATATTAATAATCTGCTGGAGGGTGATCCAAGGTGTAAGGTGACTTGATCATCATATACCAGACCTGGATGTTTTATTTCTCACAGTTATCTTCTTGATAAAGCAATAACACTGCTTTAAGTCTGTTGCCTAATAATAGCATGTCATAATCCTCTCGTGGATGGTGATTTTATAGGAGAGTTTGTATGCATATCACCCAGTCTATCTTTTAAAAATTAAGGAATTTAAATGTATGCTGAACCTAATGACAATATATTGTGGCATTTTATTTTAAAAATTGGGGAAAGTTGCATATTTTTTTAAAAGTAGGCATTTGAGTAAAAAAATCGAAGGTACTTTTTTAAGAAAATTTATATGCCACAGTTTACATAGACATTTCAGATTTCAACAAATACTCTTGATATAATGGTTTCTTTTACTTGGTCAAAATGCATGTATAGTATTTCTTCCATCTTAGTTCCTTGTGTTTGCCTTTGTGGTCTTTTATATATTTTTACTGTATCTGAGAAACAAAATTATCTTCAAAAATAAGTCAATTTGGAAATATTTATTATAATCAAACTACAAAATGTACAAAATTAAGTTTAGCCCTTTTCTAGCAAGTGATCTTTAAAGGTAAAAATGCTGTTCTTTTAAATTCTCCAGATTTGTATGTGGGAAGGCACTGAAATGATCTTGCAAGTGCCACTGCAATATTCCCTTTCAAGTGTGGCCTAAATTTCAATCTTAAGAACGAAATGCATGTCTGCTCCTGGTCTGAAAAATGTAGGCATTAACTATATTTTAAATCACAGTGAAACATGTATATAAGCCTATAACAAGAAGATTTGTGCAATTTGAAAGCCTTTTGATTTTCTATGTAGACATACCTACACACGAAAGGGTTAAATTCACAGCCTTACTAGTTCCTTGTTTCCCCTCATTATTATTCCCCTCTTCTCTCCCCTCATTATTATTACTAATACTGCAGTTACTTTTTTTTGCACATAGTTAACTACCCTTCAATATGATTCTGAAAGAAAAAGTGCTGTTTCTGTGGTATTGTATTCTCTAAATAATCATATTTAATTTTTTTGAAACAAGGTTGCAGTTTCTAATTGTTCTGTTCCTGTGTTTTTTGCTGGTGTGTAATAAAAGCAAGATTTTCTTTTCATGGTTATTTAATACATTAGCTGCCTGTAAATATTTCTTGTTATAATGCTCTGGAATGTGTTGTAGAAGTTGTATTAGATCAGTTTAAAACCTTGTTTGAAAGCCACATTGTTTTGGTTATTTCTATTAAATTAGAAAATTGAAAAAGTTTTCAAATGAATTTCTTTTTTTTCTCTTCCTCTTTGAGACTTAATCACTTAGATTTAAAAAATTTATACTCTGTGTGAGGCACTGGGGATACTTTCATGAACAAGATAAAAAACAGTCCATGCCCTCCCAAGTGTTTATACTCCATTTGAGAATGATAGAGATTAACACAGAATATAGTTAGTAACACAGAGAAGGACCTAACCCCAAATTTTGTTGATCAGGGAAATGATCTCTCTCACTCATAAAAGACAGGACCAGGTAAAAGAGAAA